GTATGTAAACTAATGTAATTTCATGTAATTTCTGTATATTTTTTAAATGGTTACGGAAATGTTATTTCATGTTTGTTTTGAATTTCTTTAGAAGAAATAAAAAATCATTTCTGGTTTTAGCAAGTAAACGCTTTAAATGAAGGAACTGAATCAAATAATAGCATAAGTATGCCAATGTTGAATGCGATGGACGACGATGATGTTTCAAATATCAGAGAACCTGATTATCAATTTTACATATCATATGATTTTTATGGGAAAGATAATCCAAATTTTCATCGCAAGGATTTATATGGTTTCCATCAAGGTAAATATATTCAAATATATATTTTTAAAAATTAATTTATAATAAAAAAATAAGGAAAAATAAAATTTTCAATATCTATTAAATGAATGTGCATTATATATTTTAACAAATCTATTTAACTATTTAATTATTGGAAAATATTCCACTTACTAAATGCTTTCAATTACGCTATTCGATTGTACATCATATATGCTTTTTAACACACAGGTTTAGAGTTTAGACTTATAGAGAATGTATACCGTTTATTGTTTCATAAAATATTTCGATCATGATTTTTTAGTAAAACCACAAACATTCACACCGCAATTGAATCACATATCAATGAAGCTACCACCGTTTCCGCTCCTGCCTGAAAGATATCTTATTAAGCCAGATCAATTTTGCAACTCCAGCACGGTCGAGGGATGCGAGAAGGAATATTGCGCTTGTACTCATGTGCTTCAGATTAAAACTGATAGCGTAGTGGAACTAGTTCTTGTCGATGAAGGTGTGTATAAGCAATAAATATTTCTTGCGTATCTCTATTGTTTAAACCATCTAAGTTTCGCAGTAACTAATAATCCTTGACAGGTGTTCCGTATGATGCAAATCATCCGTTTCACCTTCACGGCTATCAGTTCCGTGTAGTGGCTATGGAAAGAATAGGACGTAATACTACCATCGCTGAAGTGAGAGAACTAGATAAACAAGGTTTAATACGCAGAAAACTTAAACGGGCACTTCTGAAGGATACGGTAACCGTACCCGACGGTGGTTATACTATTGTACGATTTCACGCTAATAATCCAGGTAAGACTTCACAACACATATAAAGAGACAAATAATATTTTTAAAAACTGAGTTATTAATGTATGCCGATAAATAATCGAGCTGATTAATGTTTTTCAGGATATTGGCTATTCCACTGCCATATCGAGTTTCATGCGGAGGTAGGAATGGCACTGATTTTCAAGGTGGGCGAAAATGAAGAAATGCCACCTGTGCCTAATAATTTTCCTAAATGTGGTGACTGGAAATTGACGAACAAGACAATAACCAATTACAAACAATCAAAGAACAACGAGTATCTTGACAACATGATTAAACAATTTGCAATATACATGACGTTTATGAGACAGCTCGTTTATGAGACAGCTCGTCTATTCTATACATCCTCGGCATCCAGTTCGAGTATAACACTGCTGCTTTTTATCACTTGTCTTTTAAGCTCTATGTCTCGCGTGCAAATGTTTTAAGACATATATTTATGTAAATAGCCTTGAAGTATTGGAGTCACATTATGGAAGATTTTTACAACAGATTTAATTCAATATGGTCACGAATTTGCTGGCAAACGTTTTCTTCTCTTCGTTTTATTTTGAACAAATATGACAATCATTGCACGTAATATGCGCAAAAACGAACAGAACATAAATAAATTAAATGATCGTGTGCCAGTAATGGACGGATATTTTGTCATAATTGAATATTATGAAGTATTAATATTTCTAGGAAACATCTGTCTGTTTTATTGTCGCTGGTGGTAGATAAATTATTAAGCTATTTCTCGCGAAACTGAATTTTATATGAAATGACGATAGAAAATTTTTTTAATATATTCGCGGTCATATTGTGCATTTATCTTCGACGAGCGAACGGATGTTGTGACAACAAGTGACTTGCATTTCTGTGATATAAAAATAGATTACAATTATAACTGTCAGATTGCCAATTACCTTATCCGGTAATGTATACAGTGTTCTAATTTAATTCTTATTAGTTTCAATAATGAATCATTTTTATTTTTCACACAGAATATCGGCGAGAATGTCAGGCGATAGTGTAATAAGAAATAAATAGTATAATATTCGTGATTCAAAAAAGAAATTGAGCTTGAGAGAAAAGAAATAGATAATGATTATCAATTTCAAAAATTAGATGATTTTTCTTGATCGGAATTAGATATCGCATAAAGATATATAATGCTTGATATCATTGTGTATTTTCTTTGAGGACAAATTGATCAAACTTCTAACAAACCAAAGAATCTATTACTAAAGTATGATCAATAAAAACGAAATCTTGACAAATACATTACTATAATTATTACTGTAATTATTCAATCACGTATTGTAAATAGTGTTTAATCTAATCATACTATTAACATAATCGATAGAAGATTCGTAAGCATCATTATCAATTGTATGGTTGTGTTTCTTTATTTTGGATATATATACATATCCATGTATATATGTGTATTTCTATCAAGGAAACGCTATTTTTTAAAATGTACACGATATCTTTAAAAAGTTTAATTCTCGAAAAATCCTTAATTTAAGAATATCTCGATTCTTGTTAACAAAGGATCAATGTAACGAGTATGATATTTTGTAATATTTATAGAAACTCATGGAATATAAACTCATCGTTTATACAAAAATTCATTTAAATTTGTTATAACTAACATGCAATCTCAAATATGTAAACAATCCAAAGTTCCTAAATAAATTTCTATATGCGAGATTGATTCCTAATACAATTATTTATTTATAATATTTAGAGATGTTCTTTATTATATGTATTTTTATCTCTCTCTTCTATAAAGGCTGTTTTTCAGCATATATATGTATATATGCAGAAAAAGTCTTTAGAAGAGAGAGATAAAAAATGTGTGTGTGTGTGTGTGTGTGTGTGTGTAACAAGTATCTGTATTTATCTACGTGTTTACCGGAGGTTTGTCTGGACATACTAGTCGGGTATTCCCCGATGGCACCTGTATTACGCCATACTCGCACAGTATTATCCGTTTTACTGAAGAAATGTATGTTATTATTCAGATATACTGACAATAGTTTATCTACTGTTTTTTTTTGGCTAGTCATATTTTTGCTTTCGTACTGTTTCACGTCAATGGTAATATTCGGAAGTATGTCGTTGTGTAATACTCAAGAACACTGTTGTACTTAATAATTACAAGAAATATATTGTGCCTGTATTTAGAAGTGACGAGGTAACACACGCTTCTACAAAAACTGAATTTAAAATTTTGGTAAGGACGTGTAATATTATATGATAAATTGCAAACGAGTTATTTCCAATTTCGATTGATCTATAAGATGTAATATTAATTTGTGACTACAGAGAATTTGAAATTAAATTTTTTTTTGCACATTTAAATGAATAATAATTTATAGAAAAATGTAATTGATGTTATTCGTAATGAGAGTTGCCTATAATGTAAAATTATATACATTTTGAGAATTAATTCAAATGTAGACGCCAAATAAAGTAAAATAAATATAAGGAAATAGCTTCATCTCTATATGAAACAATTTTCAACGAGTGTTATCCATGTATTTTTCTAGGATAATAAATAAATGTTGTAATAGATGAATTATATGTGTATAATAGAGAAATTTATTGAACTGTTATAATTTTTATAACATTTATTGTATTCATATATCTATTATTGTAATATTTTAAAAATAACTTGTAAATTACATCACATTGTAATTATTTTTAGAGATTATAAAAAATATCTTACGCTAACTGAAACATATTTTGCAGCTTTAAGACGCATTTAGAAAAATCGGTGGGCAATTTTTGTCAAAATTTATTGGAATATCGGCAATTTAGAAATAATGGAAAAGTCACAAGTTAATGAAAATTTTCAAATTGAGAAAGCTATGGAAATTGATGTTAAGGTCGAAAAAAACAGCAATTCTATTAATATAGAAAATAAAGATGATATCAACAATTTGCGAGTCCGTGAAAACACTAGAAATATACGAAAAAAACAATTAATATGCGAGTATTGTCAAAAGAAATTCAATCACGCTGGAGACCTCAACAAGCACAGAAGAAAGCACACCGGTGAGCAGCCTTACGCATGTAATATGTGTGAACGAAAGTTTACGACGTCGTCTAATCTTGTTAGACATCAACATTTACATCTCGGGATAAAGCCGTTCCATTGTCAGATTTGTGGACACAGTTTTACCCGAAAAATCAAACTTTCCGCCCATGTGATAACAAAGCATCACGAAGCTCTAAAATCTGACGAATGAATATAATGCTATATAAATTATAAATAAAATATTTAAAAAATAATAATAAGCTATGTAAGACATAAGAGTTAATAGAAATAACATTATTGTAAAGAAAAAAAAAAGATGATAGAATATTTTTTAAAATATGAGTTTATATGTCTTTCTCTTAGACACTGTATATTTGATTTGCTTACGCAAAATAGACCATTTTATAAATCTATATAAAAATGATTTTATTTATTTGATGACAATTTGAAAAATACGATATAACTCACAATTATCTTTTTTGCTGTATATTCTCTAATAAACATAAATAAAATTATTAAGGGGATCCTAAAGTCATATATTTTACCAAATGCAATTACTTTTCATATAAATATTTTTCTAATCTGTTTTTACAGATTTAAAAATCATTTTTCACAATTAAAGTATAAATGGTAATGTAGTCCAACCAATCAACTTCATGTCAAAAATGAAAAAAGTTTGAAAATTACAGTTTTGTTAACAGCTTCTGGCATAATAATATTTTGTTTCATATATACAAGTTTTATACTTTGTAAGTATATAAATGTCACAATCAAAGAGTTAATTTTAGTAAATGTACTTACTATACATTTACTTAATTAACACTTTGACTATGACATAAAAAATAAAATGATCTTGGTTTGGACTAGGAATTACACGAACAAACAATGATGAGTTAGAATTAGGCTTAGATATCTAATATGAAAGATTAATTAGCAAATGTATGTATATGTGATGTGAAACTGATGTAATAATGTAGAGTAATGCGTCAATCTGTTGTGAAATTCTTTAACACGATTGGTTTATATATTTAGATCCAGTGAAGAACTAAAGACGAAACCAACATTAAAGAATTTTACAACAGTTGCAAAACTGTTTCTTCTGCTAAATTCAGCCAATGGTTATATTCAGCAAAAAAAAGTAGCTTTGCAACTGTTGGAAGATTTTTTTAAATATGATTGGTTTTTGTCGTTGATCTTTACAAATCTAAATATACAAACCAAAAATATTAATTTTACAAGTGCAAAACCGCTGTTCTTCAGTACCGAAGTTAATAACATATAAACCATTTGTATATAAATCCTACTAAATCGGCAAAGTAAACGCCTTTAGGATCACTATAAAAGATATTATTGATATCAAATAAAATATTATCTTTAAATAATATCATATTAATAATGTAGATCTGATCCGATAGAAAATATGCAAACTTTTCCATGGAAATAAGTTACCTACTAACACTAACAAATATACATAGCACTATACATTAGTATGTACTTCCTGATTGGCCGTCATTGAATAAAGAGTATAAGAAGCATCCTTCTGTGGTGGACGTTGCAACGGATGTGCTAAGAGCTTCGCCATATTATCATGTATTTTAGCAGCGTTCCTACCTACTTCGAAGATATAAGAGAAATTCGTTGTGTCTAAAGCAGCGATTTCGGCATATACCGCCTCGCACATATTGTCATCGCTAGGTGGTTCATGGGCAAACAGCACATCCAAGAAGAAGTATGGGTTCTCCGTTAAATTCTCTAAATACTTCTGTCCAGTGTGGAACTTCGGGACGGAATTTGATCGTCCATATATGAAGATAACACGTGAAGTGAACGTCGGTTGGCTCCTCCCTGGCATTGCTATCCGAGAGTGTATTACCTCAAATAGCAACCCTAAATCGTAGGTCTTTTGCTCCTCGTCTGGTACATCTTCTGTGATACTCTCCAGATGATTGATAATAGTCTTTGTATTACTGGTGTAGTCACAGAGCCAGGAAGCACTATATGAATCCAAGCTCATCAGCGCATACTCATGCACCCCAGGCTGTATGGTAGACTTTGCGCCAATAAAGTTCTCCACCACACGTTTTATCATGAACAGAGGTAGGTATATCGCACCCGTACCTAGTTTGAAAGGCGTGCATTGCTGCTCCCTCACTGTGTCGATAACAAATAGAATCTTCTCAGGCAAATTGAGCTCAGGTACGTTTCTTATAAAAACATATTCCTCCGCGGTAGCTGTAGTAGTGGTGGCATCAGGCCTTTTGCTATCTGTAGGATGACGCACTACCCCGTTATTGTTGCTTTTCCGTGAACTCTTTGCCTGCTGCTGCTGCTGCTGTTGCGGAGTATTGTTGTACGTTGGCTCGATGGTCGTAACGTTATGCAGTTTTTCAGCTATCACTTGGATCTCATCATTCGTCTCCTTGTCTGACATATTTATACTTGGTAAGTATTTAAGGATGAATCTAACCTCTTCGCACCACTCGAGATGTAGTCTTGCCTTAATAAATATCTCGAGCCACTTCGAAACAATTTGGAAACTTCACATAGCGCGTAGATTTTGCGCAATATATTATATGGGTAATTTAAAATCGAACTGTGTGCCTGACAGTTCCTGATAACGTCAAATAAACCCTGAAGTCAGAAGTGCCCTGAACAGACCTACCCTGATAATTTGCTCATCTATCTACTCGTTAGATTCTTAAATTGAAATTGTTCGTAATCGCGCGAAATATTACTTCGGTACATTTTCATGAGACACTCAAATCAGCTGTTTCAGCGACAAAAACGACCACGTGATCGAAATTGATGCTTGATGTTCGTCAATTTTGACCACGTGATCTTTTTGTCGCTGAAACGGCCGGCCCGGGCAGCTCGTGAAAATGTACCTTGATCTTCAACTTCAAGGCTTTCAAGTGTGTACACTTTCACATGTGGTTTACCACGAGGATATTAGTTTCGTATCCACGATTTTTAATATAGCCACGATATATTCCACAACTCAAGAAAATGTCCGTGCCCGAAAAAATATTGATGCGAAAAATTAAAAACCGGGAAAAGACGAAATTAAACGTACTGAAACGCCGAGAAGAACAGAAAGGTAAGAGCATGCGAACTTCGAGGTTAGATCTCGTGGAAAAAAAATAACTGATATAATTATCTTTCTAAAACGTGTACAATTTTAATTATTAACAGAAAATAGAATACATCTACATATATGTAAAATTGTCAATTATTAAAGCCAATGAATTTTTATTTTTGTTTTAATCCTTTGTGACAAAAACAATCACATTATTTCAATCAAGGCTTGTTTCTTACACAGATACACATGAATCAGTAAAAGCAACTGAAATAGATCAGGACCGCACAGAAGATATTCCTCTAGAAAGTAATAACTTATTTTAATCAATTTTTATAACAGATTTTTTTATTACATAAACATTGATATTTTTTACAATCTGTTTTATTGAGAAGTTAATGTCAATATATGTTTTGTTAATTATTATTCTTATTTTTTATTTTATTATATAATTATTAATAAAAACTTTATCTTTTTTTTTTAGAAAAAAGAAAATTAAAAGCCTCTGAAGAAAATGAAAAGTCTGATGTAATAGAGAAATCTTTGGTTACTGAAAATTGTATGTATTTTTAGTATAATTAATTGTTAAATGATATTTGTACATTAGTAATATTAGTATATCAACTTTGTTTAGTACCTGGCACAACTGTAGGTTTTGAAGTGAATGGCATTATGAAAAATTTTTTGTTTTATGAATAACTTATAGATTTAGTACAATATAAAATAAAATATTTATGTAGTCATCATTTTATATATATTATATATTATAATATTATAATACCTTTTTTAGCTTTGAGTAATATAAAAATAAATGTTTAAAAATCAGTAATACAGTAAAACTTTAATGTTCTAATTATATAAAATCAATAGGAATGAGATATAATAAATAGATATTTGCAGGTACTGGATGTATTATTATGTCTCCCACAAGAGAATTAGCTATGCAAACTTTTGGAGTCTTGAAAGAATTGATGAAATATCATTATCACACATATGGTCTACTAATGGGCGGTGCTAGTAGACAAACCGAAGCACAAAAACTTGAAAAGGGAATCAATATTATTGTGGCAACACCGGGACGATTATTAGATCATTTGCAAAACACACCTGATTTCTTATACAAAAATCTCCAGTGTTTGATTATCGATGAGGCCGATCGTATTTTAGACATCGGTTACGAAGAAGAGTTAAAGCAAATTATTAACATTCTTCCCAGTTAGTAATATTTTGCATATATGTATAATTTAACTTCAATATTAAAGTCAAATTAGCTATGTATTTTTTTTCCTATTACTATATGAATTATTGTTGCAGAACGCCGACAGACTATGCTTTTTAGTGCGACACAAACACAAAAAATAGCAATGATAACAACGTTAGCTCTCAAAAAAGAACCTATATACGTCGGAGTTGACGACGACAAGGAAATGGCAACTGTAGAGGGTTTACAACAAGGATACGTAACATGTCCAAGCGAGAAAAGATTTTTACTTCTGTTCACTTTCTTAAAGAAGAACAGACAAAAGAAAATAATGGTTTTTTTTAGTTCCTGCATGTCCGTTAAATATCATCATGAACTCTTGAATTATATTGATTTGCCAGTAATGAGTATTCATGTAAGTTATAAAATCTTTTTCTGCACTGTTTTCTATATTGATAACAAAACTCTTTTCTAATTTAATATTCGCATTCTCATTGACAGGGTAAACAAAAACAAACGAAAAGAACCACAACCTTTTATCTATTTTGCAATGCTTCCACTGGGACTTTACTTTGCACTGATGTGGCCGCAAGAGGTCTAGATATACCAGATGTTGATTGGATCGTGCAGTTTGATCCACCAGACGATCCTAAGGTAAGGATTGATACAATATTTTGCTTTGCGGATTATTATTAAGATAATTTCCAACGATAAACTTAGATTAGCAGTTAAACAGATTTGTAATATGTAGTTGTGCGATTTTTAGGAATATATACATCGCGTAGGTCGAACTGCTCGCGGAGAAGGCAGCAGTGGTCACGCTTTGCTGATATTGCGACCAGAGGAACTTGGCTTTCTTCGATATCTTAAGATAGCCCGTGTACCCGTGAACGAATATGAATTCTCTTGGAATAAAATTGCCGATATACAATTGCAAGTAAGCAATATAGGTATTATAATCTTTTTCTAGTTTGTTTTTAAAATTATTTTCTATATAGACCTTAGTTTAAGACCTTTGGACAGAATTTAAAAAATTTGAAAATTAGTAAGATTTATATCTCATATATTCTATCAAGAAATCGAAACTATCAATTCTATCAATTTAACAAACATATCTGCACGTTCTAGAGGTGATATAAAATGCTATTTTCTTTTTTTTTTAGCTTGAAAAGTTGATTTCGAAGAATTATTTCTTACATCAGTCAGCAAAAGAGGCATTTAAGAATTATGTCAGAGCATATGATTCTCATCATTTGAAACACGTTTTCGATATAGAGACCTTGGATTTGGCAAAAGTCGCCAAATCGTTCGGATTTGTTGTACCGCCAGCGGTAGATTTGAGTAAGTCTTTTTAAAAAGTTAACATTAAGCGCAAGTACTTTCATAAGTATAATATAAATAATTCTCATTGGAAATTTTTAATAATTTCTAAAAACGAAACAATTTAATTTTTTAAATATTTTTTGTTTTTAATATCTATATTTGATCAAAATCAATTTCTTTAACGTATTCTATCTTTTTATAATCGTTAATTTATCAAAACTGTTAAAAAAAATTAAATCGTATATAGAAATTTGAATACAGTATAAATATTATTACTCAAACAGTCTGCATCGTGACAAACATCATTTTTTAAATTTAATTTTTATTGCACATTATAGAAGTAGGAATCAGTAAAGCTTCACGACCACGAAAAAGACTCGGTGGAGGTGGTTATGGACACTTTAAAAACATAAACGATCCAAGTTCAGCAAAGCAGGTGAAGCGCACCAAGACCTTCCGCCAAGTAGGCAAACGTAGGCAAGATAACCGGCAATTCAGCAGATAATGGATCATTCATGTACTCTTTACACGCATAAATGATGAATAGCGTTTAGTTATAACGCATAATTAATTATTATTATCTTATAGATATTATTGTACAGTTTTATATGTTTAACATAATAAGTACAAGTATCTATTTAAATGTATAAGCCTTATTATTATTATAGCTACATATTGGATGTGTTACATAAGTTTGTTCGATTTTGTTAGCTTAAAATTGTATATACAATATTTTCATTAAAAATGAATGGAATTTAAAGTTAAAAAAGAGATTTTAAAACTTGAAACCTATTTCATAAAAGTTACTACGAATATATTTTTTGAGTTTATGTAAATTGGTTTTTTTCACAGAGAAAACAACGAGCTGAAAAAAAAGAAAAATTTTCTTCTCACTTTGTGGGCCTATCATGTGTCCAAAAAATTACAAACTTTGCTTTCTCGAATAGTATAATTGTCAATTTCTTTAAAAAATAGAAAATATATATATATAATAGTTTTATTCTATCCTACAAAACCGAACTTATGTAACAACCCAATAAATTGAGAATAATAAAATATATTTTATCTTTAAAATTTTGTTTGTAGAATACTGAAAAATTCAATTGCATTTTGATAAAGCGATTCTAGTATTGCAATTATTGACATTACTAGCAAATCTTAGCGAATTTATTATGCATCTATGTATGTATGTTTTTTTAACTCCTGTATGGAACATAGGGCCTCTAGTGAGGTTTCAATAACAAAGTATTGGTAATCAAAGAAAAAATTGCATATGAGCGTAGATGGGATTGATCCGAATCTACAATCGCATCGAGCGGCAAACTACTTGATGCCTTCAGCGAATTCAATGTCTGTATAATTCGTCTAATAAAATATGTAAAAAATACATGCTATTTACATTGACAAGCAAACATTCTTGGCATTCAGCTGTTATCTGATTTCTACATATTTTTATATAAAATAAAGAATTATAAATAAAAAGTTGATATGTTTGAGATTTTGATTTGCATCATCTCTTATCTAACTGTGTTCTTTTGATAATTTGCTGTTTCTGGGAATTAAAATTTCAGCTATTTATACTTGCAATAGATTTAACTGATATAAAATTCTATAAATTTTTTGTCTCAAAATAGCGAATATTTTTAATATCTTTTCTTTTCATTTAATCACAAAACATTTTATTGATTTTTGAAAGTTTGAATTTTGCGCTTCACAAAATATATCGACAAATTACCAACATCCAAATAACTATGGAGGAATTAAATCATGCAAATAAAAATTTTGTAGTTGGTAATTCCAGTTGACCGCCATCTATGGTTCAATTATACGATTTCGCGCCTTTCGGAGTATTTCGGAGTATACTGTTGATCGCAGATTGCTGTTGTTTCAATAGTTTAATGATCTATTCATGTATCGAAATAGACCTGTGAAGGGATTCATATCCCCTTTGATCGTTCAACAACAAACGAGCACCGAGGAATATAGTGAAAATGAGATATCCGCGTGTCAAGAAAAAACGCCGAACGATTTAGTGAAAAAGTCTATTCGGAACAACTCTCAAATATTGCATTTGTTCGAAAATATAACTCAAAAAGATGAGATCGAATGCGATAATGTCAACCTGGAGAATAATTCACCGAGGAAACGAAATGCTAATTCTCCGATATGCGAAAAGAAAATGTCGATCATTGATTCCCCCCAAACAACAAAAATGTAAGTATATACTCCGAACGAACGTTAGAATAGATCTATATCTATCTCTCGATTTTACTTGTTGTAAATAAATATCTATATTTCTTACAGTGTTTTTAACGTGGTGTACAGCAAGATAACTTCGAAAAAACACAAAACATGGGATGACGATGGTTTACTAGAAGTAACTGGGAAAAATGCAATTCTTAAGGTAATTCAGGACATCTTCAAATCTTCAATCATTAAATAATTGTATTAATAAATCATTAAATGATTATAAAGATTGTTTATAAAATTCTTCTGATACATATTACAGAATTCAGATGGTAATATTATAGGAAGAACTACAATTAGTCCAAATAATATGGCAGAAGGCTATAAATTAATTATAGGAAGCAAACAAGTAGAGGTAAGTTATATTAATTTTCATTTATGCAATATTTACAGAAAAACTGATAAAGTTAATTTTAGATTATAGATAAAGTGTCGACAGAGTCTATATCAGAGTCTATATCACAGAAAAGTCCTGAAATAGAGGAACCATTGCAAAAAAAACTTAAAACATCCATTATATGTACATTTCAGTCATCAAAGAAAAATAAAAATGCTACAACTTGTGAGGAAAAAGCATCAACTGAAAATTCACCCGAGGCAAAAACAAAAATGTAACTATTTTTAAAGTAAATTTTTAAATTATTAATTTTTATCTCTTGTGCTATAAATAAATATCAATATAGCAGGTTCAATGTGATGGTCAGCAAAGTAACTTCGAAGAAACATAAAACATGGGATAGCGATGGCTTGTTAGAAATTGTTGGGAAAAACGCTATTCTTAAGGTAATTGCTGTATCAACTGAAACTTTTATAATTTGAAGATTATTATATAAAGCTTCTGATATAATAGGATTTGGATGATAATGTCATTGGAAGAACTACAATTAATCCAAGTAATGCAGTAGAAGGAGCCAGATTAATTATAGGGAACAAACAAGTAGAGGTAAAGTTTGCATTAATCTTTATTTGTGCATTATTATTGGCAGAAAAATTGATAAAGTTGTTTTTAGATTATAGAGCAACTGTCACAAGAACTATCTGTACCAGAGAAAAGTCTTGAGAAAATAGTAGAGGGACTATCAAAGAATGAGTTTAAAGCGTCTTCCATACATACATTTATGCCCTTGTTTTCATCCACAAAAGGTACAAATTTATAATATCAATTATTAATTACATTATAATCATTGATTTAAATAAATAAATATATTACAAAGGATTAGCATTAAATAGTGAGCCTTTAGTGATGCCTTATTTAAATTCTACTGAATTGATGAACCAAGAAGAACAGGAAATTTTGGTTGATTCCTGTTTAGTAGCAAAGCTTAGAGAGCATCAACGCCATGGAATTGTGTTTCTTTATGAATGTTTAATGGGACTAAAAGTACCAAATTATTTTGGTGCAATCTTGGCTGATGAAATGGGTCTTGGTAAAACCTTACAATGTATCACATTAATTTGGACAATGTTGAAGAAGGGCCCATATGGCAAACCAATTATAAAACGTGTATTAATAGTAACACCTAGTAGCTTGTGCAACAATTGGGAAAAGGAATTTGTAAAATGGTTAGGCCGCCACAGGATATTTCCATACGTTATAGGTGGAAAAAATAAGCCTAAAGATTTTATAAAATATCCGAGAAATTCGATCATGATTATTAGTTATGAAATGTTCATTAAATGTCATACAGAAATTAATGAAATGACCTTCGATTTGATTGTGTGTGATGAAGGCCACAGATTAAAAAATAGTAATATTAAAGCAGCAAAAGTAATTATCTATTTGATTTATAATCATTATTTATTAATAATATTATTATTTATTATTAATGCCAATGTAAATATTTGTTATTTTACTTATCTTGCAGATGTTAAACGAGATAAATTGTAAAAAACGAATTGTTTTAACGGGTACGCCCATACAAAATGATTTGAAAGAATTTTATGCACTGATCGATTTTGTTAATCCTGGCATTCTTGGCACACCTAATGAATACAAGAGTTATTACGAAGAACCTATTATCGCAGCGCAATATTCTTCTGCCGATGATGATGTTCTTAGTCTGGGAAATGAAAGATCCGCAGAATTATATAAACACACCAAATCTTTCATTTTAAGACGTTCGCAAAAAGCAATAAACAAATATCTACCATATAAATATGAAATAGTCTTATTTTGCTCTTTAACCAAGAAACAAAAAGATTTATATTCTCTTATTACTGATGCTTGGTTCAACAAAATTTGTCTAGAAGACAAAAGTAACATACATTTATCTATCATTACTGCTCTTAAAAAAATTTGCAACCATCCAAATCTGTTCCTAAACGAAGAAGAGAAAGCGTTATATGACGTTTTGTCAAAAGTATCATATTTGTCGCAAATAAAACGAGATGAAAATTTTACAGAATATTGTGGAAAAGTCACAATTGTACAGACATTAATGAGAAATTTGAAAAAGACTGACGAGAAGTTGGTGTTAGTCTCCTATTACACACAGACTCTTGATCTTCTTGAGACTATATGCAACATGGAAAGATTAAAATTCTTAAGATTAGATGGTGCTACTTCAAGTACTATACGATTGAAAATTACCGAGCAATTTAATACGCAAACCGATAATAGCAGTAAGTTCTGTGAAAAAATATAATTATCTTGTACTTATACATTATACTCATATATAGTACGTTGTACTTATAGTACTTATAATACATTTTATGAATTAAAATGGATGTATTACAGAAAAATAATTCTTACAGAAGTTCTATTGCTAAGTGCAAAGGCAGGTGGTGTTGGCTTGAATTTACCTGGAGCATCTAGACTTGTTTTATTTGATTCTGATTGGAATCCTGCATCTGATATGCAAGCAATGGCAAGGATTTGGAGAGATGGACAAAAGAGGAATGTCTACATTTATAGGTGTGTACAAGTTCAATATCATTACATGATAATGTATTTAATGGAAGTATATATAATTTTGTATAACCAATTTGTAGATTATTAACCACAGGTACGATAGAAGAAAAAATATATCAAAGACAAATTAGCAAAGCCAATCTGAGTGAGACTGTAGTGGATCTGAATTACCTTGGATCTCTAAAATTATCTACTGCAGAGCTAAAAGTATTTTTTATTATAAAGATTTCGATAATTACAAAAAAGTATTACAAAAATCATTATTTAAAATATTTCCCATTTTTAGGATTTATTTACGTTGGCAAGTGATACAATGTCATTAACACATGATTTAATTAATTGTTCATGTTCTGATAAGAATGAACATATACTTTCCGAAGAATTAAAAGAAAAAAATAATGAGACACGAGACTGTCAATTTATACTGTATGAGAAACCATCTCAACAAAATTTAACTATAAATCAGCTTCGAGATTGGCAGCATTACAAACAGCCAATTCCATCTGACGTTATGCAGGTAATGAACTATTTAGTTTGATAAAAATTAAGATTCAATAATTTAATGTTCGTAAATACATTTATTTTAGGATATTATGTTAACAGAAGTAAGTGATAATATAACATTCATATTTAAAAATTCTACAACGTAAAAAATAATTTAATTAAATGACAAAGAATTATATAAATCATACATTAAAATTAGTTGTTATAAAAAATTAGTTATTATATAAAACTATATTTTATCCATATATAATGCACATTGTGAATATTTGAGATATTAAATTTAGTTTTTGCTGTTTATTAAAAAAATATAAAGTATTTTAAAGTTTATTTTTTCGTGACAAGAAATTTAACATCCTTTGGATTAGCTCAGGAGATTCAAATAGTTTTTTCAACTCTTCTATTTCTTCCTCATTAACTTTTAATAAAATTTCTTTATTCCATCTACTCACTAATCGCTTAGTCGCTAATATTGACTGAAATTAATCGATTAATTTTATTACTATAATTTAGTAGCACATGTATATAAAAAAAAAATTAATTTTGCGGAAAACTTTAAGTAAAAATAATACCTGTGAAGAAAGTGTCGATATCTTGTTCAAATAATTCCATACTTCTTCAAGAGAATCATGATTGTACACTTTACTAACCAAACCATGTTGTTTGGCTTCTTGAGCATTCATCTTGTACCCTAAATACAACATATCTCCAGCCTAAATAAATATTTTTACAATTAATATTGAAATCTCATATTACAAAAAGTAAAATTTTAGATGCAAATCTTAAAAATAACTTGTACATATTTTATAATGAAACATACTTTGGAATGTCCCAGTAATCTTGGGAATGTATACGAAGAACATCCTTCAGCAACAAGACCCAAAGAGCTGAATGGTGTTTGAAAATATGCCTGTAATTTATATAATACATTCAAACATAGTTATAATTAAACTATGGATATTTATGCAAAATACTTAACTGAATATTAAATTTGACAGTCTTAGCAGTCGATCGTTATTCATTAAAGAGTTATTAATAAGTAAAATAAAAAGATTGAGATTGCCATCTGTAAAGATGCAATTTATGCAAAATATTCAGTTAAGTATTTTGCCTAAATATCCGCAGTCTAGTTATAATATTGAATTATCATTGAATTGGCACCTTGTCTGAAGCGTAAACTATATCAAAAATTCCTAATATTGTAGTTGCTATTCCTATTGCTGGTCCATTAACAACAGCTATTAAAAGCTTTGGATACATAATTATAGTATCAATTAATTCCCTGCAAAATATAATATATTTGTCGATTTAATTTCTATATTTAGAGAAGTATAAATTTTTCATATTTCTTTGTTATAATACTTACTTAATTGTATTAACAGAAACCGAAAAAGATTCTATTGAGGCGCTTATGTCATTGCCACTGCTAAAAAAATCTCCATTTGCTGTCAATACAAATATCAATACTTCGTTGTTTTCAACAGATTCATTTAAAAGCATTTTTAATTCCTTATACATCTGTAAAAAATGTATATAGGATATAGGAAATTCATATGAAATTATTTTTATATTTTATTTTTGAGGACCAGAATTTTCTTAAGTAACTTATGGAAGAGATTTTTGCTTTTTAAAAGTTTTCGAGTTCGCTAAATTCAAATTCCAAAAATATAATCTGATTATTGTGAAACTTGATATCTTTAAGGTTGAATGTTCTCTCTGAAAATTCGAATTTTAAATGAAAAAAAACCTATTAGAAGTAAATTATCATATTATTCTTTAGCTCAAATTTCATAAAAACTGCGAACATTTTATAAAATAAAAGGAGATGATCCTAAACATTGCCAGTCCACAAAAGGTTAACGTTGTCAAATACTTTTTATGTGCATACTTGAACTGAAAGTGCATTTTTTTTGGCGGGTTTATTAAGCACCACTTTTTGAATTCCATTTTCCAATGTACTCAGAATAAATGAATTTACATGCGTCATACTGAAAAATTTTTTTAACGCAATTTAGAATTCGCACAATTAGTCTAGTATAACCTTGATTTTACTTGGCACTTATTCGTCTGCTTCTCCACTTACAGTGATACAATAGAAAAAAATATTTAAAAAAGTTAAAATGCCGTTTGATATGCTATAAAGTAAAAATACAAATTGTCGGTAGATTTTCAAAAAATTGTCTATTGCAAAACTTAAAAGATAAATTTCTTATTTCTTTATTGATTTTGATCCCTGTTTCAGAATTAACTTGACTAATAAGCATTCAAAAGCTATTTGTTTTTATTTTAAGAATAATATTAATGCAATATGCTCCAAAACACTTGTATAACTCCAAAATTTATATAACTGTTCCAAAATGAGTTTCAAAGATAAACCAAGATAAACTAAAAAAATATAGAAGACTAGATAGAGCGGAAAGTTCATGTATATCATGAGCAAAGTCGAATCCTTTTTGCTGATAAACAGCTTACTCATAAGGTGCGTTCGGTATTGCAAATTGAAGACGTCCGTTTGTTCTTTTATTTCGAAAATCGTTCGGCAACTCGTACCTTTCTGCTATATGTCATCTCATTCGGTATTAACATTTCTAGAGCCAATCGAGCTGCTCGATCCAATCCGGTTTCAAAGACTGAGCTCACAGAGCTAATGCAGATTTTCGCGCCTAAATTAAATTCATAACCTGTATATTTATGATGTAACCAACTGATTCGTATGTGATAATACGTACATTCATTTCTTTTAATACTTCAATCTATTTTATAAATAGTGTATTTGAACTGTTATAATGTCCGAGTCTACAAACGTTCAAACAAATGCTATCAAATAAAAATTCATGGAGTACATTATGTACAATATTTAACAAAGAAAATAAGTTTTTAATTCTTTTCTTCTTTATGAATTTGAGATTACGTATTTGATAACAAAGAATTTGCTAGTTAATTTTTAGATCAAAGCTTATACTGCACATGTAGAATGAAATAAAATCAAACTGTATTAATATATTAAAGACTCTAACGAAAAGCGTGATATAACTTATAAATTTCAAATTGCTGAAATTTATTTTGCAATGTAGTATTTTCCTTTAAAAAAACACCAGCGTATGAGTTTGCTACATTCATGTGTAACGCTCTACTTTTAATAAGATTATTATCAGTTTTTAGTAAAGCGAAAGAAATTTTCAATTAATAGAATATTTTTTATTTATTTCATAAAAATAAATAATTTCATTTTATAACCTAACCTTAAAGGACAGTTTACAGCTCTGTATTGTTCGGAATTAATTCTTGACACTCTGATTGCTCAAAGATCACGTGATCAAGCTCACCATCTCTGATTTACATTGCCGAACGCACCTATACTAGTCATATTACTAACGTCAATCATCTCGAACTGAGATCTGTCATCTCTGGAGTTAAAAAATTCTAATTCCACTATGTCTTCGGAGAATGCGCTATTGTGTCGTTCTATCTTTAGCATTCATTGGGCGGTAATAATAGTCGGTTTTTATTTCAAGACTGTCTTAAGACAGTCTTGACGCTAATATAGCCCTCTGATTGGTTCGTTACTGTTAAGACTGTAACTTAAAACGGTCTTGAATATAAGATCTGACTATGAATATCGGCCATTATATATGTTTTAAACAATGATAAAATTACATAATAACACTGATAGTAATAACACGAATATTTTACTTTCACGTACACACATCGTGTATAAATATTAGTATTAGCATTGTATGTAATAAAAAAATTCTCTGCATGTTTGTATTTTATTTATACTAGCATTATTACATAACTTATGAATTAATGTTCTACCCGTTGCTAACTATAAAGTGTAAGTTGGTAAAGAAAATTCATGAAAAATACTTGGAGCTTATCGTTCTTTCTTTACTAATTATTTGTCTATTAGATAACGTGTTAATACTCAATAATAATAAAATTAGCCGAGTATCATAGTTTTATATACATTATAATATAATTTTACATTGTATTTTAATACTATATCTACATACTATTTTGTGACATAATATCACAGGATTTCCCAAACTTAAACAGTACACATATATAAGGATTGATCTCTTTATTTTTTGAAAATTTTTTTTGCATAGAGACAATAATGAAAATATTGAAGGAGTATACTGCTACTTCGTATGATTCTACTGAAGCTGGAAATGTCTGTAAATTATGTGATTACATTATTCCTATTTATAAATTTCCTTAAATAATCCGCATAAAATCTCGCAGAAACACATTTCGTCAGAAAAGAGTTTAGGAAACCCTGATCTATATTAATAATAGACGATGGATTGATGGGTTTCGATAATACAATGCGTAATCACAGATTACATGGCCGTGTCACTGTCTTCTAGACAATACTTGCTACAAAAGTGAGTTTTATTAGCAGCAACATTTCATGTTACGTCGCGAGCATAAATCGCGTGAAATAGAAATTTGAATGTAAAAGGCTCACAAAAGTTTCTCAAATGCGCGAATTATTTAAGTGCTTCGTGGACGTGTTTGGTTTGTATCCAAATAAACATTATCCGAAACGTAATTTAGGCGCGAAATAGTTGGAAGTTATCGACAGAAGAGCTGACGTAAGAAGCTCTTTAACATAACTTAGCATTATCTTAAATCTAATACAAATTTACTTGTAAATTTACTATTGTCGTAGACAAATCACAAAAATGAATAAACATGAGTCACCTTCGTGCTCTCTTTAAATAATGCATTACCACGCTTAGTAATAGTCTTATAAATTAATACAATGTAATTTTTGATACATATATATTAGGTATAGTAAAAAGAAATCCATTATTTTTCCAATAAATGGCTTTAGTAATCTGTATCACGCGTAGACGAGATACAGATTACTAAAGCCATCTATTGGATTTCTTTTTACTACACCTAATATTTATATACATATCTGTAAATATATATGTATATTTAATGTATGTGTATACACACGCACACACGCGCGCGCGCGCACGCACACACACACACACACACACACACACACACACACACACACACACATGTTGTAATTATAAAAAAAGCAAGGAATGCCAATTTATAGATATTAAAAGGATTAAGGACTGTGCATGGATTAATTCAGTAATATTGCTATATGAATGCTTTGGTACATTAAAATATCAAGAAGTGTTTGAATATACAGTTACAAATTAAAGGTTGTAAATAAATATATTCCTTTATAGGAAAGTATACTTTTTCTACGTAGCATTGAATCTCAATATCTTGGAAGATTTTCAATGATATTCTACTTGACGTCTTTAAAGTTCATATAATTTACTAAAATTAAATAATCGCAAAATTGGAATTATTTCAATATAATGTACAGTTAAATACTTGAAGTAACCGATAAAATATCAATATATATCAATTTGATCTATTACGGTTTCAGAACCTTTTCGATGAATTTCTTTATGTCGCGCATTTCCTGTAAAAATAATAAAAAAGAGACAGACGTTATAATTTCCCTAAATGTAAGAAAAGATTCGACAAATTTTTTCCTCAATTGAAGCTTCATTACCTCCTCAGAAGATGTATGCATCATTCCCCGGTATGTTTTGAATTCTGTCTGTGTCATAAATTGTTTTAGAAGAGATGCTGTCATTTGACCCCATCTATATGGCACAATTGGATCGCAATCACCGTGACATTGCAACAGTGGAGTGTTCCTATTACCTATTGCTTCCTGAAAATAAAAAAATCAGTTACAATTCTACAAGTATTACATATGATACATAAAAATATTGTATAATAATATAAAGTGATACATACTGCTGGAAATTTTTGATGTAAAGGAAGCCATGCGGATAAAGCTATAATGCCAGCTAAAGGCTCTGGGAATGTAAGGGCACTGTACATGGCTAGTGCTCCACCTTGACTGAATCCTCCTAGAACAATGTGTGTGGTAGGAATCCCAGCTGCAACTTCCTCCGCTATTAATGAATGGACTACTTGAGCAGCTGTACGTATACCTTCTTCATCTTCAGGACCACTGGAGTCCAGAGTGCGTAGATCAAACCTAGATTCACAAGATGTATTAATAATCATATAAACTCTAACTTGTAATTCATTGTTTTCATGAGAATATATTCTTATGTTCATTTTAAAGTTACCAGGAAGGCATTCTAAACCCTGCATTAAGCGTTACTGGCATTGTGGGCCTGAAATAGGAAAAATTATGTATTAAAATACTATTAATTTACATAGGCTTCTATTTTAAACTCTTAACAATAGCCTAATTTATATCGATCGTTCAATACTTGTACCAACTAGTAACTTTTTATTAAATTATCTTAATTTTGATGATGCGTTTAAAGAGTGATATAGAATGGCTAAGATGGCACAATATAAGAAGATAAATTAAATACATGTACCATATATGCGTTTGTATGCATCGCTGAAATTAAAATAATTTAACTGAAAGTTGCTATGATTGGTATGGATATTAAACGAGGTATAAACCAGAACTATATTCCAAGGAAAATTTTACTCAATATAATATAATATACATGTACTTTATATTTCGAATAAAATTTTCTGGAGAAGACGTTTTGGAACGTGACTTAGATTAGTGTTGATATCGTTGCATAGATTTTATATATGTGATTAAAAAAAAATTACGTAACAACAATGCAATGACATCGACACTGTTGTGTTGTTAAGAGCTACAAAATAGGGATCATAGTTTCAATCATTGAACATCTAAAGATATTAACATACGCAGTAGGACAAATAACTTTAACATGAGGGGATCGCACCGCACCCATGGAACTGGCCCAACCATGCCTGAAAATAACATATACAGAATATTAGAAAGCTCTGTTTGCAACGTTTCAAATTACAACCATATATTGGAAATGTGAACTTACCCTGTATCACCCAAGCCATGGAAAAATATTAGCTGAAACACAGATACTCTTTAGTACGAAATAAGGTAGTATGGTAGTATTGGCTTTATTCAAAAGTAATCTTTAAAAAAATTTCAGACTTAAAATCCGTGTTTCAAGACAAGTCATACGTGACTTTACTGAAAAGTATTAAATAGTGAAAGTAGTAGACTGGCAATAGTATTTCGTCCTCGGAGAAGTTACGTGAAGTATTTTGTATCCGTTAAGACAACTACTGTGCCTCGCAAAAGACATGCAGTCGTAAAAAAGCCGATTATGAAATCGCGAGCAATGAAACGGAGCAGCAGTACGTTCGTCGACGAACATACCAGAAAGAGAGAAAAAAAAAGGCGCAACGAGAGTACTTTGTATAATGTAAATGTAATTCATTTATGACCAATTAGGATCGCACCACTGCAAATGATATAACCAAAAACTGCCATTACATTGAAAAGGTATCTTGATATCTACCGTTGCTGTATGCTTAGCTGTGGCTGAAATCACGACCGGACTCGTCATGTTCTGTCGCTTTTTTGGACGGCCTGAAACAAGTTCGAGCAATTGTGTAACAGTTTCGTAAAAAGGATATAGAACGCTGCGCAAGAGAGAAAGAAAGAAAAAGAGATGTGACTCCTCTTCACTTTATATCGACTATATCAAGTTCTTAACAGTGAAAGAGTGGGGGTTTGAGAAAGGAGAGAGCGTGTCAAATGCGCATTCGCGTAAATATTCAATTCAATTACTGATACAATTTTTATATCTGCGATTAAATTTGAATTCATTGAATTCGATGTCCATTTATAATGAGAGACAAAAAAAACAGTGCTTTTAATTTCAGAGAAAAATATCAAGTAAAAAATTAGTTTTTTATTGTAAAAAATAGTATTTTTGATCAAATTACAAAATTTGTGGAAAAATATACAGAATTCATGTTAAATACGTAGAAGAAGAAATAGAATTCATTTTTCTTGTTATTTTGATACATTTTAATACTTTTGTTTTTATAATTTTATATCGAAGTAGAAATATGTATTATGTATTATGTATTGGCTATTACAATTTTGGATGAGTTGATAATAGGGTAATAAGTTGATAATAAATCTGTTTGCATTGCTTGCACTTTTTGTATTCAGCATCTGTGCTTTCTCTTCCTTCAACGCCCGAATCTATTTTTCTAATTATATCACTTTAAGTAAAAATTTTGGGAAATTTCATGCAATGCGAACAGACATAAATGACCTAAAAAAAATATCCGAGTAAAAAATTGTCAAAGCTGAAGGAAAAAAATTATTAATTTCCGAGTTTTTTACTTTGCAATTCTAATATTTTTCAATTGTTTACATCTCTATTTGTAATTCAGTGTCTTCATTACGACAAATTTAATTAATTGAAATTTTATTTTATTTTTATTAATTTTGACGAATTGAAATTGAATTTTAATCGTTCGTGCAGATCGTATATTTTTACTCCTTCCGTTTAATAAAGTTTCTTTTTCTGTTCTAGGCTTTCAAAAAATGTAAAAAAATTCAGAGTTACTTTTTAACATCTCTTTTACATTATCAAATAGTTTTTTAACAAGATATTTTAGGAAGAATGGACTTCGTCCTCTTTTATTGCGAAAAAATTGAAAGTAAAATTTGAAAGTAAAATTTTGCTTGCGCGAAAAAAAATAGTAAAAAAATAAAGATTTCAAATGGAAGATGAACAGTACATTGATACATAAAAATTTCCGACTTTTCTAAGATGAATTATTAATATTGTTTGTTTTGTCTCTTGGAAGCTGCTCGCGGTCACTCCGAATGAATCCAGCGTACTTGAAATATAGGATTCACACTACATCCATATGACATCCATCATACAACATCTGACATTCATTGTTATAATGAATGTCGGAAATTGTATAACGTATAACAGAAATGTATAACGAATATCGTACATAGTGTTCTAATTCTGTATTTCAAGTTCTATGGGTTCATTCGGAGTGACTCTGAGTAGCTTCCGAGAGACAAAACGAACAATGCTAGAAAGAAACTGCTTGTCACAAACCTGCGAACAGTAAATTACCCATAGCTATTTTAGTAATGTCGTGGTTCATCGATTTCCAATTGATTTCGCAGTAAATGTTAATCCTTCGAGCAATCGAGAGCGATTAATTGGAATGACGTACTAGTATCTGATGTTTGTATGGAAACAGAAAAAGCAATTAATTTAGGTGTATTTTTTGTATGCGAAATTATCTGTATGTCAGTGCGATATCAGTCTGTTTGAAATGTAGTTTGAAAATGGTCTTCACTCGGAATATATCGATTCAAATATCGAAAATATCGATTCAAGAACTAAGTTCGCGATCGTATGAAAGCCAATTCAGAACGATTTCTCGGATTTTCTCAGATTTGAATTCTCGGACCAAGAAATGTATAGTCATTTAAAAACAACTTGCCGTTTTTCCGTAAAATGTTCTGCTACATGTTGATTGGCTACAAGTTTTATGCTGGTATTACACTAGCGATTGGAGATTTTTGCGTCTTTTGACCAATCGGAAAGGACCTGCTGGTCAGTAGTTTCGTTTTGATTGGTTAAGGGACTCAACGCAACACAGACGCAATTTCCAATCGTTAGTGTAATACGATGTTACAACGGATGTGCTACAATCGACACAAATGTAGTTCTATTTTTCTTTGCATTTCACGAGTTAAGCCTGGATCCTTATATGGGTAAGAAGAGTTGGATATTGTTCGTCGCTCATCGCTTGTTACATCCAGTGTGCAATAGGCATAACCCCAGTAAGCAAGAAACGTTTTGAAACATTTCAAAATGTTTCTTGTTTACTAGGACGGAAAATTCAAATTTAATTTTGTCCGGATTAGTTTAGATTTAGCTAACGTACCCTGTAGATTTGTGAGGAACTAAGGGCAGGAACCAATTATAATATATTAAAAAATTATACAACAATTATGTAAAGCTTTTTTTGCTAAAATATCGATATATTTTTTATACCGGATATATAATTGCTTATATTTTTTTCGCAGAAACGTTCACGTTAATGAATCTATCTTTAACGCACCAAGAACAATCCATGATGTAAACACAAAAGTGTAGCATTGCATATAACGGCAATAGCAATATTGGAAATGAGTAAACAATCAATAAAATTTGCCCTAAAATGCATTTTCCTGCGTATAATAACACAATAGTATGTTGGAATAACTAATCAAATTTGATCAGAAATTCCTTCTACTACTGCTCATTCATAGGAATGTCCTTGATTTCCTTCCTTTCCATGAAATAAAGGACTCTAATTGAGATTTAAAAGAGAAAGAAACAGTGAATGTATGTTCTTCGATCTCTTTCGATCTCTTTCGTCATTTTTGCTAAAACTATAAAAGATCTTTCATTTAAAATGTGGCTTATGTTCAGACTCTTATTAAAGGTACAAATGCATCTTATAACGCAAGCGCTCACTGAGTTGCAATTAATGATGTTCTTATCTTATTTAGATTCAACCAATCACCTTTGATTGCTACAATTAATACTTAACCGCTCAGTGAATGGTTGCACTACTGATACATTCAATGATTCTATTAAGTTTGCCTTTGAAATTGACATTTATCATACGCTGTAAGCTTCTATCTTTATTATTCATTACTCGTAAAAAGAAGATAGAATATTAAGTTCATAGCGCGTGAGCCGGTGAGCATCAATTTCGAACGTAAGGGAGACCAGGGCTGGTTGTCACAGTTTTTGATTAGTGACTTTTAGAAAAAAATAAATGCAAGATTTTAAAATATTATGCACGTGATAATATACCTACATCTTTTAGGTAGAAAACAATTACTTTGACATATATCATTGTACAAATAAATTATTCAATTTTAAGCAAAGTTGTGCAAATGTAACATTTCACCTCATACTCTGGGTTGATTGTCACACATTCCGGAGTTGGTTATCACAGTTTTATATAAAATATTAAAAAAATAGTTTTTTTAAATATTAGTTTTATATTTGAACAAATAATAATAGAATAGAATTTATTCACTTTAATAAAATTTATTCGGCTTACAAATTTGCCAAGAAGGGGACTTGGTTTACAATTTGAACAAATAATAATAATTATATATTTTTGCAATAATTCTTTTAATTATAAAATACAAACTTTTATTCGAAAAATATAATTATGTAATATAAACATAAAATATGCAGTCTTTTTAGAAATTATTATCTAAAATAATGTTCAGTTTTTAAAAATAATATTAAAGTTTATAAACGTTTTTTAAAAAAAATATCACGTACAAAAAGGAATCTCAATATATCTATATATAGAAGTTATATGTATTATTATCTAAATTAAATGAAAAGGTATCGTTTCTTAAACACGCGAGATTCAATCAATGAATCTATATATATTCTTTAATATAAAAGATACTGTATATTTAAAAGAAGAACTGTAAAACTTTCAATAATCTGCAATAATTAAATTATGATTCACAGTATCGACATAATATAATGTTTTAGAGACACGTGCTATATGAGACCATTCTTTACATATAATACATTGAACTCATTTTTCATTAGACAAACTATTTAAGTAGGGTACAAACTAAACAGAAACATTTTTTCTCTTTCATAACATCTATTTCAATGTTATTATAGTATTTCTTTTTTAGTTCTTAATTTGTTTAGATTTCTTAGATTTTTTAATAGAATCCTTTGTATTGTTATCTGTTTTATTAAATAATTTATTTTTTACGTTTAATTCTTTCTTCTTTTTAATTTCCATATTCTTTAATTCAAGTTTTGCTTTTATTCATATATTAGCAAGAATAGCTGTCTTTCGTTTTCTTGTCATTTGTCGAGAATTCTTCCATGGACTAGCTTTAGGAAAAGAACGAATATCTTCTAGAGTTAATTATTCAAAACCTTGGTTTGATGCAGAAGTAGACGATTGGCAAATATTTCCTGAAAGGTTACTTATTTCCATCATGTTTGCTGCACTTTTTCTTATAGATTGCTGTTCACTATTATTGCTGAAATTGTATCACTATGTTAATTTTACTACACTAACTTTACTACACTAATTATATTAATACCATATTATTAATATTTTATACTAACCTATTTTCCTCAGAAAGTAGCCTATCTGTAATATGATTTGGAGCAAAATCCAAGTCCATAAAAATTTCCTTATTAAAGTGAAATATGCAATGCATTTAAAGCCTGCTTGAATATTTGCTGATGTCATAGCAAGTGGATAAGCAACTGCAATAGCCTCAAGAATATTATAAATAGATATGTTGCGATCAAGATGGTTTAACATTCATGCATCACAAGCGGAGTTGATGTATTTTTCTTATAATCCATATACTATTCTAATGGTCACAACCAGTGCGAACAATACAGTGGAAAAAATAGCATTACAATTCTGTTTTGTTTTGCATAATTTTATTCCTTCAATACTGAGATGCAAATTGTAATTGTCCAACAGCAATAAAACTGGTTTCTCAGTTGTACATTTTGCATAACTATGAAAGTGTCTCAACAATTGTTCAAAATCCTTTTCTTGCATCCAACCTGATTTATTTGCACCACTTGATTCAGGTGGACCTAATGCGATAAAATGAACCTTAAAATGTATACGAGAAAATACAAAGAAAGGTGGTATCTAATTTCCTATAGCAAAAATCAGAATAACAAATTGCGTTTAGCTGAAACAATGCTTCCTACTTCCTTGTAGCGAGTGTTGCTTTCCCGAGCAAATATTCTATCTGAATTGTTGTGACTCCTGTTTCATTCATATTCCATATCTTAAGGATTAAAATAGTGATGTGATAAAATCTTTTCCAAATTTGTGTAAAAGAAGGCAACAGTTTTATTGAAGCTGCAGGTAGTTCTTGCTTTATTTGTTGCTTCTGGTTTTCGAACCGAAAGTTTATTGTAACATTTTATAAATGCATAAAACCAATCTTTTCCTGCCATTTTATTTATATACCAAAACGGAGGCATTTCAATTGAGTTATAGCAGGCTATATTATAAGTCAAAATTCTGATTTCCTTAGGAGAAAGACCGAAATAAATATCCGAAGCATATAGAATATATTCAACTAATTACTGTTCTTAAGAATCAGTAAAAATCTGCTTAAATTTAGCATAACCCATGTGAATTTTTGGAACAGCGTTTTCATGTAAATAATCCTCTTCTGGAATTCTCTTGCAGTAACGATATAAAGTACAATAATTCATATTTTATTCTAAAGCGACTTGTCCGATGAACAAATTATGTATTTTCACTGCTCTAACAACTTCCAAAATAATATCAGGTGGAGTTTTACCGCTATTCGTCTTTTTTTTTATTTTGCTCCATAATTATAACACATAATTTTATTTAACCTTTAAAGGAGAAAATTCACTGATGCCAGAATTCAAACGTAATCTGATCATAAAGAATAAAAAGAAATAAAGAAGCTATGCTATGTACAATCAGTGCCATGCCTCCTCTTTAGTGTATTATTTCTTCTATCTCCTTTTTAATGGATTGCGATCAAGACACATTTCGCAGAATCACTGATGTATGATAACTAATCCTAGCCCATTTGAGACAATCTAACCCATGATGTAAGAATACAGGTGTATCATTCCCGAGGATCGTCCGAAAAAATGACCGCTCTTAGACCAATCAATCATTGACCACAAATACTAAATATGGTTGCCAATAGTTGTTAGCCAGCTGTAGTTAGCCGTGTGCACATGTGGATTTTGTGGATAGAATATAATAAGTTTCGTGAGACTACTCAAGCAGATGTTTATCTCGTTTCGGTATTGTGTCACCTCGATTATATTTTGGAAAAACATGGCCGGCTTAAACTATGCATTTGCATTACGCAATTCATGAAAGAACGCTTTACCATTTTCATTTTGATGCTAATATAAATTGTACAACATATTTTATATCTCCGTATATTCATAGCACTAGAAATAGCTTTTACATTCTTGTTAGCATAATTTTTGTGCACAAAAGTAGCATTATAATTGATAATTGAAAAAGATGCAAATTCTTTGAATCGTATTTTCTTATATTTGATATGATATCATTATCATTCTTGTATGTTATAATTATTTAATATTTATAGATCGTACAACTTGTTTCTTTCTGCACAAATTATTTATTTTAACACATAGAAACTATAAATATAACGACGAGGAAGGTAATACTAGGAACAAGTTATACAAAGTGATAGTTTGTCATTTAAAAACAAAGGTAGACGTTAACATGATGAGTAAAATTAAATAATAAGTTATTAATTGAGAAACAATAGTCCTTTTAAATTACGTGTTATAATCAGAGTCACATTGATATTAAAATGAGAAAAAAATTTAGAATAGAACCTTGTATATATTTTTGTTTCTATATTTTACAAAAATATAAACTTGTTCTATATTTTACAAAAATATAAACTTTAATTTGTGTTATTATTAGTATGTTTAATATCAATAATATGTTTACCTCAAAAGTATAATCATTTAAAGTTAATTTAAGTTATGATTTGGGATAAATAAATAAATAAATGCAATAATTAAAAAAAATTACTTGTCGTTTTCCTTTAGTAGAGCACACTTACAACTACTACTGATAAACCATGCCAGCAGATAATGGCAGAAATCAAACAAGAATTGCAAATCTAGTTTAATTTGTACCGCTAATCTTCTAGCATAGCATGTCAGCTTTTTCATATTAAAAATTAATTAATTTTAAAATTTTCCTTACTTTTTTAAAATTTTCTTACTTTTTTTTTAATTTACCTTAATTTACCTTAATTTTCCTTATTCATGACACTTAATGCTTTAAATTACGCGGCTGCTGTGGTCGGTTGATTGGCTGTCCCACAAGGCTGCCGCCATTATGCGCAATGATACACCTAGGCCGGTATTCATAGTCGACTTTTGTTTCAAGACCATCTTAAGTAATGTCTTAAAACGCTAATGCAGCCCTCTGATTGGTTCGTGATTTCTTAAGACCATACTTAAGATGGTCTTGAATATAAAATCGGACTATGAATACCGGCCTTAATATTCTTACATCATGATCTAATCCATATGACCGTTTTTAAGAAAGATTTATTACAGTTTTTTAAGATTAAATTTGGGAAATTTGGGGGATTATTAATATTTCAGTTTGATTGCGTTGAAAATCCGATAACCATATCAGCACGTAATAATAATTTCTGAAATTAATTCATTTAAATGAATATATATAATAATTCAACATCTTTACATTCAGACCGTAGTGGCGCTTCGTATTTAAAGTAATGTAAAAAAGATTATATTTATAAACTTTGTGAGAATAATGATTAATTTTTTTTTTATTAAAGCAAAAATTGTCTAAGACATGCCATTATCTATGATTACACAGAAATCTTGATTGATAATGCTAAAAAGTTATTAGACAACAAAATAAAAGATAAGAAAAATTTATTCACCAACTTCATTTTCTTAAAAGTTGTTATAAATAATATACACAATACTTTTGGTGCGAATCATTTTATACCATAAATTAATATTACATCAACAATTTATATAGTAAAAAAAAAAACAGATTTTTTTTGCCACATTCTGTTTGAGTCATAAGTATTTTGATCCCGTACGACAACCCGCCCCGGTCTCCCCTACAAGTTGTTAAAAATTTCATGAAATTTAATGTATGTGCTTTTAAGTTACATAGTTTGAATTTAATTTCATGACATTACATTAAATGTAATGTATTTATAACTGAAAAGTATATTTGTATACATGTACATGAAATTTAATGTATATACATGAAAATTTATAAAATTTAATGTACTTTTTATAAAATGTTATGAAATTTAATGTACACGTTCATTATATTTAAATAACTACTGTGTAACTTAATTTTTGATTAAATCATTCATTACTTTTAATTTCATTCATTCACCACGAGCTTCATTTACATGTAAAGAAAGCATTTCTAAAGAGTCCTCTATATAGAAATCGTAGAAGATTGTGGAATGTCTTAAGCCGTAGAAAACTGACCAATTCTAATCGAGTATTCTCTTTATTGATTGTGATTGGTTGATTTCCTACTTAAAACTCCACGATCATCTACGACTTCTGAAGAATGTAGAAAACCCTTAACAATGTGATCTAAATACGTCTCATAAAGATGGAAGATTAAAATGACGATTTACTCTACAAAATCAAATTATGATCGATTATCATTAAAGTCTTGTATCTACAATACTAATAAAATAAATCTTTCCGAGACTGACTCGGAGTTAGATCGAGTCAGTAAATCAAATACGCTATTACATAGCTGCATAAACGTATACGTAAAGAAAATTATTGCATATTCTACGTGTATTTTTAATAAAACTTTTGCGATTGGATAATCTTTACGCAATTAGTTATGCACGTTTTTTTCTGGATATGAACTCTTAAGCAAGAGAATTTATCAATCTAATAATAATAATTACTAATAATAATAATTGAGGATTTTTGAAAACATGAAACTGCGATTAATAGAGCTGCCTACTGCTAGTTTACGTTTTTTTATATACGGCAGCTCTAATTTAAAAATTACGCAATGCAATATAATTATTACTAAGTAATTACTATTAGGCTATATCGCTTTAGCATATATATGAACAGCTAACCGGATTCTCATGTAACAAAATGGATAAGTGCATTCAGTACTACAATCGTTCACCGAGCTCTTGCACTTGTTTGGTCTATATTTTTAGATCTAACGGAACATGCCTATCAAATGCAAGAGCTGAGCGCTCTGTAAGCGGTTGTAGTACTGAATGTACCCAATATGGCGACTGCCAATGCAATACGAACAATAGAAGATACTTGCCGTAACTCGGAACTCGTTACTCCGAGCTGCCTATCTATCGTTCTCGATACTACATGGTGATGTCAAGACTGAAGACGTTCCAAAACTTGCGTACATACGTGGGTGATCACGTAGGCGCGCTGTTTTTTCCATCGTGAGATTTATAACGATCGTCGAGTATACTTAAACGCTTCTCTAGCGGTGCAAGTTGATTTCGATAGTCTCTCGCAAATGTGTGACTTCGTCCTGATATATGATATGATAACTGTAAAAAAAAAAAGAGATAACCTGTCCCCGTCAAGGCAAACGCTGCTGTAAATAAAACCCCTTTTTTAGTTTTATTTTTGTAATAGACGACGGTTTAAATTAATTTACGTGTCTGCGGCATTTCTCTTATTTCGTCCTCTGGGAATCTCGTCACCGTCACGAGGCTCCACACGCTGTACATACGTTGGATCACGCACAAAAAATGATCTTTCGACCGATAACTGCGATAACATCTCATTATTGATTTACGAACTCGTTTGAACGACAAACAGCGATAACGCGAGTCATCTGTGCACTCTACTTGCGATTAGACGCTGCTCAGAAATAATCATTGTGTTGCAAGCATCACGTTTCAAAAAATAACGTTTATTTTAGTAATTAGAATTGATTGCTCGCGAGAAAAAACTGTATAAGCGAAAGAGAAACTAAAAACTGTGCGGTATGACACCAAAGATAGTCGTTGTCGGTTCGTGCATGATTGACTTTACCTGGTGAGTAAGGATGAAGCTTTTCGCACGTTGCAAAAGTTGACACTGTCTCATGGTCGATCGATCTCTAATTATTACATTAACATACAATTACATTACAATTACATTGTGATTTGTATTGTAATAAATATTGTATATAATTACGATAATAAATGTAATTAAAAATTGCTTTCTCTTTACTGTGCATTGCAGTAATTTATAATTCTGTTTAATTGAAGAAAGCCGAATCTAATTTTATATATATGTATATAATGAATAGTTACAATCTGTCGTAATATTAGTCTGTTTTTTATTGCTGACTTTCTGAACTAGTACAATGCAAAAGTTGAAGTGAAATAAATATATGTTTGTTTCACTTCAACTTATTGCATCAGAGTGCAGCAATAAAAAACAGACTTATTATCATTTCTTTCTGGGAGATCCGGATTTGAATCTCGGCTGAGATATTTTTTACAATAAAATTATTAAAAGGTTTTTAAGATACTTATTAACATCAAATTATTAATATTCTTATAAGACGTTTATTAGCATCAATATTGTTAAATTACTTAATACTTAATTTAATATACGATATTATTACTTTAGTTTTGTTCGTAATTGCGTTTCAAGACTGGAAAAGATTTTGGCGCGCGCGGTTTGCAGAATTGAATATGTATATAAATTTACACCAAAATATTTAAGCACTAAGATTCGTTTTGACCGAATACAGGATTTCTCTTACTTAATTAGCTTTATTCTCAACTTTGTATTATAATTTTTTAACGTTATTGCTTTTTAGTTTCTCTCCACGGTTGCCAAAACCTGGCGAGACCATAATCGGGACTAGATTTGAAAAGAAATACGGTGGTAAAGGCGCCAATCAGTGTGTAACAGCTGCTAAACTTGGTGGATCTACGGCACTTATCGCTTCAGTAGGCATTTATTTTTTACATGGAATCAACGTGTCACATTTGGCTTTTTTATTTTTTAAGTCCATTTTAGACGATCTATAATGACTATTAATATAATTCACAGCCAAGTTCGGGATAGAATTCTATTTATAATATTGTGTGTCGTGTAACATAGAAAACATTTGAAGAAGTTAAATATATACATACAAAATATATATCACTGATATATATTTTCTATATATGTGTATTTTACTTTTTCAGATGTTTTCTCTGTTACACGACACGCAATATTTATTACATAGGATTCTATCCCGAATTTGGTCGTGAATTATAGATCATCTAAAAGTGAGCTTTATAATATTCGTTTTTTTTT